CGCCCCTCCCCCGCCCCGCGCCCGTCACGTCGCGTCTCGCGGTGATGGCGGCGCGGGCGCCTCGCACTTCCTGGCGCGGGGGGGGTCAGCGGTAATGGCGGCGCTTCCGGGGCGGCGTTGCCAGGGCGACGCGGCCTGCCCGGCCCGGGGCCCCGCCGCGGCCCGGCAGGGAGCACGGCAGCCCCATGGAGCGGGCCTTGGCATGGCTGCCCTCCTCCAGGGTTACCTACTGAGCCGTCTTGGTGGGTGGGAAGAAAAGTAAACATAAGAGGACATAACATTACAAGGTGCCACTATAAAGCTCTGAGAATTGACACTCTATGTGAAAAGAAAAAAAAATAAATTAAGCAATACCCTTGTGCACRCTGTTGTAAAGGAGAATAGCAAGTTACTGACACAGAGAAATCAAAGCAATTYAAGAGGTTCTGCACCAAAAGACATAAAACATATCACCTGAGAAAATAAGTTCAGTAAAAAGAGACCTCTCTAGTTTTCCTGTACAGGGAGCTATATTACATGGTAAAGCTTATTTCAGCCACAAAAGACATCCCCCTGCCCCACACACAATAAACTACAGCTCTAGACTATCTTGTAGCCAGCTCCATCTTGTCAGAGATGCCCTTATAAAGGACGCCATTTAATAAAATTTTATTTCACATGGTAGCACCCATGGGATCAACTGTGTTTTGCTCTGAACAAGCACAGCACAAGCAAGTATCCAACGAGCCTGACCTGGGACAAGACTCTCCAGGCACACACATGGTGGCCATGTCTCCTTGCACACATCTTATGCACCACGACACAGGGACAGCAGGAAGGGGATGGCTCTCCAGGGACCAGGTTAAAAACCAGGGCCCAGGACACGTGCAGCAAGCAGAAATGAACACACAGTCTTGAGGGGTATGGAYGGAGAAGTGACCTATAGAAAAAGACCCAAAGAACCCGTGGCCGATGCAAGGATGATAGGGCCACCAAAATGCTGTTTATATGTTTCTGTGTTTAGTCAAATAGACCATTGGTATTGATCATCAATGGTATTGATACGATTACAGTGAGATATTGCAACTCAAGCCGTGCTGTGACTGAAAATTAACAAAGGCTAATAACAGCTTTTGTATGGGTTAACATTAATCTGTAGGCTATCGACCTACTGGAATTTACAGAATGGTTAAGTGAGAGAGGAAAGAACAATTACAGGCTTTCAAAAACCTGCAGGTGATGGAATAAATCATCTTTTCTCTTAGGTAAGGCAGCAGGTTAGGGACAAGATTTAGTGATTCATGCAAGAAGACATAGACACAGTGCAAAGAAAGGCTTCTTCTCTCCTGTTAGAAAATTGCTTGGTCATTGCTAGTGTTTATGACCTGCAAAGTGGCTARAGCCTTGTTAAAAGTGAGTTTGTGTTATTTTCTCCTATCAGCAATTTAGTTAAGAGGAAACCCAATAAAATACTTGTGAGGYATCAAGTGTGCTAAATCTGTCCTGTGTGCAACTTCTTCGTCATGCTTAGTCCCTTTATAAAAACCTGCTTTGCTTAGAATTGCCCCAGCCTCATAAAGATGTTTCGAAGCTGCCAAGGCATGATTAGAGCTGATTCTCTGGGCTGTTCTCTTTTATAGTTCCCGTGACTAGGAAACACAACCACATTCCCTTTTCTAGGAGGAAAGAAAAATGCCTTTTGCTTGGTGTGCAGAAGGGTTTAAAGAGAATGCAGGAACACAGGAGTGGGGGTGTTGGGAGATCACCGCGATACCTCTCTGAGGTTGCGAGCAGGGTGGGAGAATGCCAGAAGCTGCTTGCTGACAAAGCACACRATAAACATGGTTATTTTTTCCCCGTAGAAGCCAGTGTGCTACTGTTATGCAAACCTGCCAGGAGTCTAAGTGAATTTAAGTGCTGGTGCATCATATTACTAAAGCCATTCAGAGCAAGTATTTCCTGGGTCTGACTGCTTTTAGCAAGAGGCATAAAGAAAGTTTATCATCTCTATATTCTTTGTATTACTTTAAGAGTCTATGTACTGCAGAGAGTCTCATATGAGCAGTTCTCCTTTCTCTGTGCGTCATTTGTTCCACAAAGCATCACCAATAATTCCATATCAAAATTAAGGATTTGCATAATGACAAATCAGGTAAAACCAGTTTCCTACACATCTGAAATAAAGAGTTGTTTCCTTTTATTTGGCAAAATCATGGCATTGATACATTTAATGCTTTTTCAATAGATTAGCCTAGTCATACTAGAGGAAAATTATGCCCTTCACCCTTCCTACTCTAGTCAATATACTATCAGTGCCCTGTGAGCCCAATCATCAAAGCAAATCCAGTGAATTCATCATGCTCATGATTTAAACTCTTTTCACAAGTGAGCACTGGACTAAAGACAGATTTTTATAAGGTGAAAGCCTATTTCTACATGGACAATCATCTTTTATAGTGTGACAGCTGAAAGCACTGCATAGAGTTCACTGCCTACTATTGTCTGAAGCACTTGGGAAATTCCGTAATAATAAAGCCTTGGGTTGAGATCAAGCACACGCCTAACAGGGAAACAAAAGATCCTCACTTTAGAGCCCAATAAGGTATATATCTGTTCAATATTTTGCTGGAAAAAGACTATAATTCTTGCACATAAAAGCATTTTTACTTAATCTTTCTGCCCTTCACACCAATAGTTTTAAGGCAGCTGTCTGCAGCAACTGGGCTCATTAGAGCCTATTTTTGCCCTGTTTTAGCGCACTTCAGTTGCTCCTTCAACTCAGCTAGCACCTTGAGCTGCAGCCCAAGCTACCTCTTTCTTGGAGGTTCTCTTCATGTGCTTGCTTGGATTTAGAAAACAAAGAAAAGCCCCAAACTCAAGCAAATCCACGTGACTATCGACCTACATTTAAGTAAACCTTTGCAATCAGCGTGATTGGCCTCGTCTCCTTCTCACAACAGCGCAGAAGCTAGCAGGGATCCCGGAAAACCACCTAAATCCTTAGGCTAGAAYAGCCTTATCTGTGCCGACGAATCTTGGCACGTCGCTTTTCCTTTGCGCTGCGGAGCAGAACAGCGCTCTGGCCTAACCCAGCCTTCAGGGTAGGGCTACCCTGCACTTTGCCCACCTTGTGCTTGGCTTTGGCTTCGAGAGCAGAGAACGGCCACATGAAGCATTAAAGATTCAGCCAAAGCAATTATGTCTCTTGCAATACCAAATGTGTATGATTTTTTTAATGTTGCTTAGTATTAGTTGGGAGAGTTTTGCAAGAGTAAGTGATTTTTTACCTACTTTTCTGACTTGCTTAAGTGAGCATAGTCACAGGACAGGAAAAAAATGCATGATACAATCAAGGCAAACTGAAAGAGAGTTCTGGAAAGCAGTTTACAGAAGTCTAGGTCCAAGTTCCTGGTTTTATATGGGTCCTCATTAATAACTTGGAAGTATACGAACTCTATCTGAATTAGATCCTTAGAGGAAAACACTTCTATTGCAAAGGCATGCTTAACTGAACACCAAAGCAGTTTCATTACTTCCTGAAAAATAAACTTTTTTTTTTTTTTCTGATGTTTGGCACTATTGAAACTAGCTTCAACTTTGCATATTTCTGTTTTTCTCCCAACCTGCTTGAGTGCTCATTTCAGACTCCAATAAAGTCTCAAGTTTTCTCTTCCCCTTTTTCTCTGCGCTCTTTACCTTCACTTTCTCATAATTTATTGACTTATTGACTTTCACAGCTTGAACTGCCTCTCTGCTGCCTGTACTTCAACCTTTATTCTGCTTAGCACTACTTTCCAACCTCCTTTTTTTTTTTTTTTTAAAGGTATATCTGCCATACCAACCTAAACCATACCAACCTAAATGTTATCCTAAGTGCTTTAAGAAGAATTTGCTGGTTTTCCTTGTAGACTTAATAGTCTTCTGATCACCTTGCACTTCAAGTTTTCCTAACTATATGCTGTAAAATACATGACTAAAACAGAAAACAAACAATTCCCCCCCCAACACACATACACTATCACCACCACCAAAAAAACATGACTCCTCTTTTCCACTACTTCAACTCCTTGATTCYCTTCAATGGATTCTTCTCTTTTCCAAGAGCAAAGCAGCAGCATCCCTTCTTTCAAAATACAGTCCATCAACTGCCTGTAAGCCTTCTTTTACAACTCTGCTATTTTACTCCACCCTTTATCTCTCTTCTGATTCACATTTCTTACAAAGACTGTAATCAAAGCATTCATTACATGATTCTCTCATTATGCACATGCACATGCGTGCACGTGCACACGCGCGCGCACACACACACACACACACACACACACACACACACAGAGTCCTTCATGTTTTGTCTTAAAACCTATGCCTTGCTCAGAACACCTCGATTTTTTTTTCTCTTTTTCCTCATGGACTAGCCTGCTGGCTCAGTGATGTTAGACATTTGGCAAGTAGTCACTGCTGAATCACAGAGATGTGAGACTTGTGAAACT